CATTTAAACAACTCCGTTTTCATCACTACCAAGCTCCTAAAGAAAAAAGAAAAACATAGAAAGAGAAGAAAAAGAGATAACGCCCTTTTGATCCCCCAAAAGTATCCTTTTATTCCACACATTTTAAAGCAAAAAGAACAGCATAATGGGAAAAAGCAACCACGAGTGTCTTCCAAAAGACTTGCTAATCTCCAGTGCTTATTTTTAGAGCAAATAACCCCATCTATGCATTGATAATAAACAAGAGAACTTTTAAAGTCCTTAACATTTTTATTTGTTTTGAATGACTCCAAAAGTTTTTCCACATTTGAGGACAACCGATAAAGTAATAATAAATACAACAAACTGCATAACTATCTTTACTTAGATGTCTTACAGGGTTTGTGTGTGTGCGTTTTCTTTTAATTTAACATTTTCAAAACTGAACATGATGCCCCTTAACCATGCCAATGTTCCTTCTCTAGGTTTCTCTATCTTGGAAAATGGAACTATCATCCAGCCAGTTGCATTAATCAGAGGTCTTTCTTAATTCTATCTCTTCTTCATGCTCCTCCACTCATTCAACACATCAACACCAAAATATATTTCCAGTCAGTACCATCAGATCTTTCCACTTGGGATACTGCCACGGTCTCTTAAATAGCTCTCCTTCCTTCCAACACTGCTCCCTCCCACTATGGTCTATTTGTTACAAAGATCTTATCATTGACTTGTTAAGACCCTTCAGTGGATCCCTAGGGGACAAATAAGAGTGAAAACTCCCCACCTGTATGATCTGGTTGGTACTCACCTCTAATAATCCTATCTCACTCTTTCTCCTTATCACTACCTTCTAGTTACACTGGTCTTTTACTTCTTAAACACACCAACTCCTCCCTAACCGCACCCCCATCCCCACACAAAAAAGTTCTTGCATGTGCTATTGTACTCTCTTTCTGGAACGCTATCTAATGGACTCCTTAGAGAGGCTCTCCCTGGCCAACCAATCTACAGTATGCTCTTTAGCCTATATGCTTTCAGGCAGAGAACAGATGCTGAGCAATATCACTGAATGGATGAATGAGCTATCTAATTAGAGATAATGGGTATGTTTCATAAAAGAAATTGAGGCAAAATATAAAAGATTATGGCCACTTAAAAATCAAGTTAAGTAGAAAACATTTAGAGCTATAGTACCTTTTTTACCTTGGGCCAGTAACACCGTATCTTGCATTTTCTTGTACCTGTTCAGGCATTGTCGAAGATCTTCTATTTTCCGGTCCTATTAATAAAATAAATTACCATCTAATGCTATGATTTTAAAATGGTAAAAGTAATTGCAACACAAAGATAAGTAGACATGAGTTATTTACATTATTTAAAGAATATTTCTAAACTTTAGTAAAACTAGTAATATCTAGAACATCTTTCCTACATATATCAGAGATATAGAAAAAGTACCTCTAAATTTAGAGATCCTATCACTCAGCTGCCATCTTTAAAAAACAAAAACAAAACAAGGTAGTAAGATACAAAAAAAAAAAAGAAAGAAAGAAAGAAAAAGAAAACAAGAAAAAAAAGTCAACTTTAATTACTTTCTTCTCTAACTTATATGCCAAGTCTTGAAAAACAGATCTACACCTGCTGTGTTTATCAGCTGTCATTCATGGCCACCTGGCTTTTTCCTTCTCAAAACATGCCTTTCAATTAGTCATCAGCAACCTATTTACTAAAAACAATGAACACTTTTATATTTTCTCTAATTTGAACTCTAGTTGGCACTTGATTGACTCCATTCTTCCCTTCCTCTTTTACTTTTCTTTCCACTCTTTCTTTTCTTCTATTTTGATTTCTTAATCCCTTGATGAGCTAGATATTCCACTTCTATAACCCCGCTATTACCCAACCCAGCCAATAAAACAGAGCCTTACGGTTTTGTCCTTTACCCTCTTCTCTTTTCCCCATGCCCTAACTGTGGTGGATTATAAAAGTGAGCTCTCTAGCTCCTCCCACACTGAGTGTGGGCTTGGCCATGTGACCCACTTTGGCAAATAAGATATCAATAAATGTGGTTTAAGCAAAGGCTTGAAAAGTATTTTAACTTTGGGGCTTGCCCTCTCCTGCTGCTCTAAGGCCACTATGTGTAGAAGCATAGGCTAGCTAGTCTCCTGGAAGAAGAGAGACCATTTAGAGAAGAGATATCTCAGCTGGGCCAACCTAGACCAAGACTGGTCAATCAATAGACACGTGAGTCACACCATCCTACACCATCCAGCCCTCTCCCAGACACTGGCTAACCATAGAGATCAGCTAAGCCAGACCAGACCAGAAGAACCACCTAGCTAACCCACAGAAGTATCAGAAAAATAATTAAAGTGATTTGTCACAGAGCCAAAGCTAACTAATATATTAACCATAGTTTAGTTCCCACCAATCCACAACTAATTATATATTTCTCCTAACATTGATGAGATTCACTCCCTACTAATCTATAATTCTATACTAATCCTAAAATTTAGATTTATTTTCAACTTTCTATGAGAAATCTCCTTTTAGAAGTCCCATGAACACATCAAATAGAATGTATCCAAAATGAATCTCATTATCTGCCCCTAGTACTTCAGCTTCGCTTGGATGCCCTTAACTCGTGGAGGGCACCATCATTTACCCCACTGATCAAACCAGAAACTCTAAAATCCAAAGATTTTTAAATTTGGTCAACCTGCAAATATATCTAAAATATCTTCCCCTCCTTACCACTTCACTGTCATTGCCCTACTTCAACCTCTCCATTTCTCATCTAGCTTAATTGTTCAATCTTTACTCTCCACCCCTTATTCCTGCCTCTGTTCCGATACCAGAGTTAGCTTCCAAATGGCAATTTAATTATGTCACTGCCCAGCACTTACAACCTAAGGTCCCAGATCATTAGCCTAGCATACAAGGTTGCCTATTATTCACCGTCGCTCTTTTGTTAGTCTTATACACCCTTCATCTATAGCTCATGTTCCAGAACTTTCCCAGCGTGCACTGGGCTGTTTCAAGCCTTGATTTTGAAACATGGTTTCACTCATGGATGCTCTGCCTAGAAGCCTTCATTTTCCTGATGAGCAACTCTTGCTATTCTTCAGAATTTGCTCAAATATGTCCTCTGTGAAGCCTTCTGAAACTACCAAGAAGTTATGTCACTCTTGGTGCAGCTATACCAGTTTGAGCATCCTGTGAGCCCTCATTCAACTTTGGGAGTTTTGTTATTGCTGCATTTTGAGGGAGAAAAATTAAAACAAAATGAATTTTAGTGATTTTCTTTAAAAAAAAAAAAAAAGCTCTGCATGCAACTTGCTAAGGACTTCTATTTTTATTCAATAGTAGGAAAGACTAGCCAAAAGAATCCATATATATATATCTGGTTGGGTGGGTAAGACAATGAGTTTATTTCCAAGGAGTAAAGAACAAATGAAGAGAATGAAAGGCAAAGATAAATCAACAAGTAAAACAGAGTAGGCATGAATTAGAAAAAGAAACTTATGATCAATTAGAAGAAGTCCAAGAGAAAGTTTTTTGGCATGGCTTGATTTTCACTTTCTTGAAATTACTCTTTTCTTGGGAAAATGCCTCCTTGTTCTATTCATTTAGGGCAGCGGTTCTCAACCTGTGGGTCGCGACCCCTTTGGCGGTCGAACGACCCTTTCACAGGGGTCACCTAAGACCATCCTGCATATCAGATATTTACATTACGATTCGTAACAGTAGCAACATTACAGTTATGAAGTAGCAACGAAAATAATTTTATGGTTGGGTCACAACATGAGGAACTGTATTTAAAGGGCCAGAAGTTTGAGAACCACTGATTTAGAGACACGAGAGGGGAGCAATTCTGATGACAGGAGCTGGACACGCCTGCTGGCCCCTGCTGGCTGGAGGGTCAGGAAAGCCGTGAAGAAACGCATTTCTTTAGTAGAGTAACTGCATCCCTGCTCTTAGCAGGATGAAGTGGGGAGGAACAACCAGAAGAAACAAGCTTCTGGAGACATGGCATTGGGACACCACAGCTAAAACAGAGCCTAGGGCCATATTGATTTCATGGTGCCTGGGCCTCTCTTTTCTGATATCTCACCACTCAGAAGAACAGAGACAATCCCCAATGTGAAAGGTCAGCAGTATGAAGGAGAAAAAAGGGACATGACCATGAAGCTAAAGTTGTTTGGAGTTCATACATGAGCCCAGATTTGATAGCTCAAGCATTTTCTGAATTCATGCAGGGAGGAGAGAGAATTTTCTCAGTGGAGGCAGTGCTGCTGGTCTCCATTCCTATGCTCGGCCACAGTAACAAGTGTGACCCCCTGACAGTGGACACACTTGGGCAGGAAGGGAGAAGGCTTGCCCCTCAATGTCAGTAGTGCATAGGGTGTGTTCTTTCAAACTGCAATATCTCAAGAGAATACACAGAATGATCAAAATGGTGCTATTACACATCTAAGTAAATATTTAAATTTCATCTAGATACCTTTTCTTCATTTGCTGCCATCAAAGACTCCACAGCCTTTTTCATTTTTTGTACTTCAATATCTGAAAATATCACAACATCAAATCAGAAGTCAGTTTAGTTAACGTGTGTGACAGTAATGAGAAGCTACTGACTCTTCAGATTGAAGTGTTTTAAGGTAAAAATGTTACTGATTTGTTTTATTTGTTTGTTTTTAAAAGGGCACATTTACCATACATATTGTCTTTTAGGGAAAATCTGAAAAATGAACACCTTCTATCTCGCCTGAATAGTCACAGGGTCAGTGAGAGCTAACTACCCTTTCTCAAAGCAACAACAAAATCTTCAAGAGAACAATGAAATGTCAGTGCTAACAATGAAAACACAGAGTTTTCAAAAAAGCAGTGGGCAAAAGCAATGAACAAAGTGCACATGACAAACGCAGACAAAATGATACTCAGTTATAACCAAGATGGAGACACAAATGGTAAGAGCCTGATGGAATGTGATATTTACACGAGTAGTCATGCTAAGCTGTAGGTTCCATACAGAAGGATATTAAGTACTTTGCTTCATCTATAAACCTCATTTCCAAATGCTATTTGAAAACATAAAGGCCAGAGTGAGATGAATGTAATTTCACTTAAAATTTGATATTCAAATACAAAAGCATGTTACTTTAATACTAAAAAGCAAATAGTCTAAAGATCAAAAGTCAACCTAGAATGAAATCACAAATTAAAAGATTTGAAACAGA